CGGCTCTTTGCAACAATCCTAATAATCATAGAAGTAACTTCACAGAATCTTCAGTAGATAAATAACCCTTTATACGCTCTGTAGGTAACTTACTACAATTATTTCTAAATCTTAAACACCAACGCTACACTCGACTAACTTTAACCATGACGAAAATCTTGAAAACACACTAGGCTCTTCAAATTTGGAAGCATTTGAACTGAAACTCTTTTTCAATTCCTTCAACATAACTTCAACCCTCTAATTCTACACTTGAATTTTGCTGTACATTAATTACGGATTCGTTTAAAACTGCGATCCCTTCATCCATAACTCACATTGTAGGAATTCTGATGGAATAAAAACCTCTGGTCCACAGTCTGCAGGATTTTCTTTCCCAGCAACATAATTCCATTGAATACCTGGAACAGCTTCTTGGATTTTTGCAACTCGATTGCCACAAAAGGTAGCCAACGGCGAGGTTCGGACGAGACCCATGCCAATGTAATCCGCGAGTCGGTCCATGCGTAAATATTGTTAATAGGCAGTTCTAGCATGATAATACAGCATGTAAGAGGTTTGCTAAAAGTAACGCAGCACACAACTCTAGTCTCGGAAGAGACTGGGTTTTTAAGGGCGCTACTCTGGTTTTCGATGTCAGAAGGCTGACTTTGACTGACGAATCAAGGTTGATTGTTCGGAGATAGATGACTGCACAATAAGCCTTTCTGAAGCGTCGCAGAAAGCATGGATTTCTATAACTACTGCCTTCGGACTCAAGACATACCTCGGAAATTGTAAGCTTGAAAGTAAGGGTAATTCTAGATAGAAACGCTTCCATTTCCTACTTATTCTCTTATCAACGAGTTCATCCCAACCCAGCTGTAAGTTCCATAAACTCTTGTAATAATATTTCGCGTATATTATTGTTGGCGCTAACCATCCCATTGGATCAAAGATTTTGGCTACTTCTGATAAAATAGTCCTCTTAGTAAACTCTTTATCACTTATGCATACCGAAAAGTGAAACGTATCACTAGAGTTGTTCCAATTAATTCCCAATACTTTTACTTTTTTGTCACTGTTTATTTCAAGAGAAATATTGGATTCTCGTAAGCACTCGGGAATATTCTCTAAAATAGCTGACTGTTTGAAATCCACTTCCACTTCCTTAAGCGAAATATACCCCTTTTCATCATTTCATTCAAGCTGAACTAGAAATTCGCTTCCTCCTCACTTTGTGCCCCTGAAAGCAAATCATCAACATAAAAATCACGAGGGGCAATTTTTGATGCTAAAGGGAATCTCACTTGTTCATCTAATGCAAATTGTTTCATTACTCTAGTAGACAAATATGGTGCAGAAGCAGTCCCATATGTAACTGTTACTAATCTGAATGTATTCAAGGGCTCACTAGGACTATCCTTTCAAAGCATTCGTTGAGAATTTGTACATTCTTGGGTGGACACGAATTTGTATAAACATCTCCTCTACATCGGCACATACTGCAATTTTGTAAATTCTGAACCGTAGAAGAATTGGAAACTGCTCTTGCTGAAATCTTGGCCCAACCATCAAAATATATTTTAATGAAAGACCCAATGTCGTTTTTGCTGAAGCATCGAAAACAACTCTCAGTGTAGTCGTAGTACTTGATTCCTTCAACACGATGATGAGGCATGTAATACGTAGAGTCAATAAAAATCTCTCCCTCCATATGTCTCAGCTCAAGGTACTTCCTCATGAAATCCTTATATTGTTCATATATCTGAGGCCTTTTTAAAAGTGAATTTTCTAAAGATTGGAATGTACGCATAGCTAATTGTCTCGAATCTCCAAGCTGAGAAGGAGGAGAATGAAACGGTAATTTCACACTATATACCCTACTTTACTCTCTCGTAAATGAAGATTTGAAGTAATCTTCAAATGCTCTCTCCGATTTGGTAAGCATGTCAAACGTAGGTACAGCATCTAATTTTCAAAAGTCAGACAGCATCTGATCAGTTTCCACTTGTATATTATTAACATAGATAGTAGGATTAATTTATGTTGAATTATTCACTACCTGAAATAATCCCTCCTAGTTCAGAACGAGAAGCTACCGGTTTACCTTCTTCGCATTTAATTATTTCTCCCTTTAAAAGAGGTAAGGCAATATCTACGCCTAAAAAGTAAAGTATTCAACAGGCCCACTTTTGTAAAACGTTGGATCTGCTAACATTAAATCATTATATTCCTCAACGTACTTCTTATCCAATGTAAAATGCGGCAAAGTTCCAATAATTCTATTGATGATAAATACTGGTGTTTTAATGACACTTTCGCCGGAAGATGCGGAACGAAGTTTATTCCGTAATCCCATTAGTTTTCGTATCCAAAGACCCTAAACATGAAATAAAACTTTGGCATTTCTTCTTGCTACCCTAGCCTTTGTACACAATCTTCTGAAATCAGGCTTGCTTGACTGCCAGGGTCAAGGAGGGCTCTACACAATTGTATTCACCCGATGAATCTAACACTTTAATAACAGCCGTACATAATAAAACTTTCACTCTGAAAATTAAGTCTGAAACACAAGATTTAATTACTGGACTAGAACTTGCGATACTCTTCCCTGACCCAGCCGATTGAGCGCGAGGTTCTGGCCTAGGGAAAAATGGCTTAGCCGTCACTGATAATTCATTCGAACTGTTCGTAACTCCTTTACGTGCCTTTGGCTCATTTTGAACTCTTTCGAAATGCAGAAGTGTGTGATGATTTTTAAAGCACTTTTTACATTTATGTGTACTTCTACTTTCGAAAGCTTTATGGTTTGAAACCAAACAATTAAAACAAACATTATTTCTCTTGACAAAATTAACGCGTTCCTGAACATTCAGATTTAAAAACTTATTACATTTAAAAACTGAATGACCGGCTTTACAATACGTACACAGCGCGCGAATCTCTGAAGCCAATGAAGTTAATTTGTCTTTTGTAACTTGTTTTTTAACACCTTTCAGTTTACCTGCTTGCAAGGTTCTGGCATGAGATTTCAAGAACTCTAGCAGATATTAAGTGTGGTATTTCCTCACTGCTTTAATGTTCTTTCCCACCATTCTCTCGTAAAAGAATCCAATTTAAACTTGCACTATTATCATTAAGAGAGTATCCACGAACTGTTCTACTTTGAAACCCAGAATTCTCAAATGAACTTACACATTCTCTTACAGTGTCTACTAATGCTAATAACTGACTAGGCATTTTCAGATTTGTAAATTTGATATAGACAAGATTTTCTTTAATAACTATGAAAGTAATTCTCTCTTATGTGAAAATCTTTGACACAATAAATGCCACGCTATTTCGAAATATCTAGTCACAAATAGTTAAAGCTTGAACAATCCGCAAAGCATCTCCTTTTAAAGAACCTTTAAATATTGTAGCTTTTGTGCACCTGATAAACGGTCATTATCCACTATCGCCATTTTAAATAAATCAAAAAATGATAACCATTCTTCAGCTACTTGCCACTAAATTACAGGAAGAGTTAGCTTAGGTAAGCGTATACTCGCTATTTCACAAGATTTAGTTTCCAACACTAATATCTTTAGCATTCTTAACTCTGGTTAGCATTAAAATTAGCTCATCAACAGTATCTTATATGACCTGCTTGCTCTTCTATAAAGACATTAATATCTTTTTTTTCACACACTACAAATATGTTACTAAAATATCCGAAAGTTCGGTCATTAAGTCATTTAATCTAGATTTAAAAAGTTCCAACTGATCAACATCAGCAGAATCGTAAGTCACTGCAATTTTCTCTTTCAGTTTACTTAACTTAGCTTTAGCTACACGCTTTTAGTCTTAAGCGTTGGTAAATTCCATTACCTAATAAGAAAGATAAAAAAACACACTGGACTCACCAAATTTACTGTGACTCCGGCTCGACGGACCATAAAACCTGTACGTTCCGTTGTTTAAAATAGTGGACTGTAAATTGACTTGATATTACTTCAGTATAGAACCCAAAAAACCTCAGACTCATAACGTTGACCGAAAACTTCTTTATTGACTTTCAAATATAAGTTAGTTGAGGACGGCGAAGACCACACAAACTCCGACTTCAGTGGCGGCTTACCAACACAAACTCAGAAGAACCTCCGCTTAGTTGAAACTCCAGTAATTCACAGCAACCGCGAGCTTTAAAACCGCGAGCTCTAACCGCGAGCTTTAAAAACCTAACAAATTTGCGTCTGCGCCGCTCCTCGGTACAAAGAAAGAAATACAATTTGCATAACATCGAACACTATCCTTACGTACAGATGTCACGCGAAAACAAACGTCGTTCAAATGGATTTGAGAGCGGTCAAAATGGATATTTTTATTGAAATATGATATCGAAATTTTTCGGCATACTTCATACAAGAAAGTAAAAAAAAAAAAGAAAAAAAAAAAAAATGACTGAATGAAAAGTCAAAATATGTAATTTGAAATTGATTTTGATTATTCGTGGCTTATTTTTATAGGCAAGGAATATAAGTTAAAAACCAGAGAAATATATATTCTTCTTCAAAATGTTTTAAGATAACGATAAAATTCTTTGCCATAAATTTCGAGAATTGTGTGAAGCTACTTAAAAAGTAACTTGCATAAAGATTTACCGATATGGAAAGGTAAATAAATTGATCTGCTCGTTAGATCTAATATTACTATTTTTTAACAATACTAATAATCAAAAATAGATTTATTTCATTTTTGACGCAATAGAGATAAGTGCTATTGTGATTTCTTTCTGCATAAATGATGTTATAATGAAATGTAAACAAATTATTAAAGTAGTGTGTTATTGATCCTCATTTTTCGTCAGTGCCATGTATATGTAGCTAAATGCTACCTCTATTAAGACAGAGGAAAATTAGTCTCCAAAATGCTGCTTATGATCGTTCCTGTTATCGTATTGACGGAAGAATAAGTCGAAAGATTATTGTTGGCACGTGACAATGAACTTTGGAGGAGAAGATAAACCAGTTGTGTCAAACTCTTCCAAGGGGGAATTTAAGGTACCGTGATGCATGTACTATACCGCGTTTTAAATCTTAGAAAATGTATACGACGGTGGCCTTACAGTTTTGAATTTAATGTGGAAACATTTAAGTTTCGAAGTTCATCGACTATATCAAGGACAGGTTTCGATAATTATGAAAAGGCAAGAATCAGTTGGAATGTTGAAATACCTGAAAATTTTAATTTTGCTGCGGATGTTCTTGATAATTGGGCTGACAAAGAAAAGGTAAGATACAAACGTGTGCAATTTTTGATGACAATTAACTTGACCTGGAAAACAAGCATTTAAAAAAATTATATATTAAGTTATTTTTATTTGTTATTCAATAAGGAAACACAGACAAAGCTTTACCTTTCGTATTTTACTGCTTATCCATATTGTAGAAATTCAGATTAATTTTTATAGTTATCATAATGTATCTAAGTTTACTGCGGTATTCTGCATTATGTGTTATTATACTACCAATAAGAAAGTCAAGATGTGTTAGGATTTGCAAAAAATTTTGTGTTACTAAATATTTCCTGCCTAACTGATTTTCTGATATGTTTGTATATTTAATAGAAAGAGTACTGAAAAATAACTTTGAAAGAAATATGAATATTAATTTAGTTTTATCAAAAAGAAATTAAGCTTTAAACTCGAAACTAAACACTTAGGACACACGTCCTCTTCCAGACGCTTCTTTTACATGCGATGCTTTATTATTTCTCTCACATGCATGGCATTTGCGCATGGGCCTTTATATTTTTCATTTCTCTCTTTATACACGAAAATGCATGATTAAACAAAAACAAAAAAAATAAGTGAAAGAATGCAATAAAAATTCATATAAAACGGTAGATTTTCATTATTCCTTTATTACAAAAAATATAAAATAGTTTATTGCATATCGGATGTGAACTATCTGTGAAAAGTATATTTAAAAATTTTCTGTATTCCTACGGGTGAAAATTTCTCCTCCGTCCTGGAACCGAGCTTTACGTACCGTTTTACATTCCTGTAGAGCAGTGTTTCTCAACCGCCGGTCCGCAAACACTTATTCGCCTGTCCTTCCAAATTCAGAAGTACTACGACAATATACCTACCGTCGTTTACAAAAGAAAATAATTAAAATCTGACATGCATACTGCGCAACGCATTATGTCAAGCTTTCTCAACGTGTCTGTTGTTGTCTGTTCAATTTACGTTCATTAGTATTAGGAGACCTATTGTTGTATCATGAACGTGCATTTGCGGGTAACGAGTACTCTAAACAAGACATATTCGTATTCAGTGGAGAAACGCTTATTATTTTTTGAAGTCCGCTGAATAATGGCAGCTGTAGTATTAGTGTAATAAATAGAATGAACTCCTTCAAGTAATTTTATTTACAAAGAAAACAGAAGTTAACAGAAATTTTACAAGACAACGAAGTTTTTTAACCAAATTCAATTGTTATTATGAAATTTGAGCAAATAAAAGCGACGTGAAGAGGTTGAAAATTTTGTATTTGAAGGTTGGCAACTCTAGAATGTGCTCACTTTTATCGCTTGTTACATCTCAATTTTTTTTTTTTTTTAAACGAGACGGAGAGCTCACAGTAGAGAAAGGGTTACAGTAATTCTAGGATGCAGAAAAGTCCATCGGTGTAAATGAAGCGGTCGCAAAATCGGACAAACATTCCGGCGAACATTCAGAGGCATAGGTTGGTTTCATTGCAGAATGCTGTATACACGTATCTGGACCGCAGGCTCTACCCCTATCGAATAAGAATTAGATAGTTCCTAATTATGAGTGCATTAACAACTTAAAAGTTTAATAATTTTTAACCATAAATTAATGAGGCATATTTCCCAGGAGAGCACTTTGCTTGTCCGTGCGCATGCGCTTTATTATTTTTTTTTAACAAAATTTTAATTTAGAATTTTAACAAAACATTACCCCGTTTTCTGTCCAAGTGAAAAAAATGTGTCATAAATAAGGTTTGGGATTTTTTTTGACAAAGGGGTTTCAAGCCAAAGTTAATGGTGGGATACATATGTCCCCACAGTAGCGAACTACTTAATATAAGCACAACTATTATTCTGAAAAACGTTATTATATGAAATAGATTTTACATCGTATGCTGCAGGATAAAGCTTGCTTTTCATAACCCAACATTACACATAGGGCAACTCATATTTGTTTTTTTCTGTATGTTCATTTGCGCACAACGAGCACAGCGGCATCTTGATTTTCCAACTATTGGAAGATGATCCCCAGCATTCAGGAGATTCTAAGTAGTTTTTAACCCAATAGTAATTTTAAACTTTCAGTAGGACATATATGCTCCGTTAGTAGTCAAAGGGTTAAGTGACGTCAGTGATTAAATTGCACCAAAATTCAACTGGAGCCAGGCTCCGAAACTCCTCATTTTCTTTTAGATAACTCATAATGCTAGCCAAAGCCCACCGCAGTCCTAAATAAGATAAGCTCCGATATTTCATTTTATGAAATTAAACAACAATGTCAGCAGAAAGTTCCTTTTGATCTCGCAATATTTTATTTTAGCAACAAGTAAGATTTAGAAATATATACTAACTTCCGATTATACACCTGTTCCTTCCTGGGGAATGGATATTTCCTAATTATGAGTTTAGACATTTAAGAAAAGAAAATACACCTTTCACAGTTTAATTGGCCTTTAATGTATTCATCTGCAAAGAGTATACCCAACTGCTATGGAAACCTTAAGCTATAGAAAGTGGAATAAATTAGAGACCTTGTTTAAAGTCGAGTAAAATTCTGGTAGAACTAGTCGTTTTATCGCCTCCCCTGATTCGATATCATCGGCTTTCAGCTATCCTGCTCAGAATGATGAAGGGGACTCATCGTTTATGATCCTAAGGGTAAGAGACAAAAACAGAGCAAAATATTAAGAAAAATAGGTCAAATGTGTCTAATACTTCCCGTGGAGAAAAATCACCTGCGGATCTTTCGAATAGATATATTAAAGAGGAAGGTTAAAAATGGTCATTTAAATAGAACTTTATGTTTTTTTTTCAGCTACAGATCAACCAAGGATTTGGAGGCAGTTTTTTTCTCACATAACACTTCCTGCTTGACAGCTATAACTATGCCGACTAGGGATCGTGATCAGAAGGTGTTTGATATTAATCTTTATTTTCTTATCCATTCTTTTCAGTTAAAACTTTCTTCTATGTTTCTCTTACACGTTTCTAACATTCCCTCAGTTTTATTATATATACAGTCCTTAAATTAAGTGGAAGTTTATCGAAGCCCGACAGTCGTATTTAGATTTTTGAAATAAATGATATAATCCTGGCCAGATTTCCAAATAAGCTGTGATATTGATAATTATTTTTTAGCTATTTTTCATAAATTTAAGTTTATTTTTTAATGTTTATTCATCTTTTTATACTTTATTAAATTTTAATTATTAATTCTCGGCTTTTTTTTTTCATTTATTATTTGCTAATGTTCCCTGATTGTCTTCCATAGCGCTCCAGCGCTTCTAGTTTCAGCGCTGATAGCAGAATTCTTACACAGTTTTGAAATATTACAGTACAAACATACTTTTGTAGTAGATTGAAGACTGCCTCCAAAAGCTTTCAGGTGAATTATGAATGTCTATTAAGACCTTTGAAGGAAATTTTATTATAACGTATGCATTAATCTTTTAGTTATAATTAAGCCTTACATTCTATAAAAAGTTTGCAAGCCACTGTTTTAAAATTTCCAAATCATCCGTTGTATTAGAGTTTATAGCATAAAATTCCAGCTTTATGGGCTGCATGTAGCACAGACTTTAAAACCAGTGAAATTAGTGATGACCAGGAACATGGGTTGTGTTCAGCTTTGGCTTCGAGAGAGAGACACATTCTGGACACGATCTGTAAAACCTGGAAATTTACTGTAGGTACCCTATATTTGCTATGTAATAAATTTTTGCTAACTTCAGTACTTTTCGATTATATAGTTAATAAATAAACCACTTATTTTAGTGAATCATTTTGCATAAAACTGAGGTGTGAATAACAATTTAAGCTACCTTCTTCAGGAATGGCAATATTTAAAATCCATTATAAGCTCAAAATAAACGAATCTACAAATGCATCAAATATGCCAAATTTGTAGTATTAACTGTAATGAATAAATAAATAAATAGCCAGAAATTTTCCACAATGTACAACTTAAATTTTTTATTTTACAAAAATAAATATAATACAGAGGTTCAAAGAAATTAAAATGGTTATATTTCCTAGAATAGGTAAAAGGAACGACTGAATTATAATTTATGTTCAGAAAAGTTATGCCATAAAACTGTAACCTAAACCTGAAACCTCTGATTCTGGAAATCTGCATTAAGTAACAAGTTTGTAGGGAACCATTCATCTACTTAAGGTATCTGCCTACGTTCGGAGCACTTTTTTTTAAAAACATAGAATTCTGATGAAATATATATTTATTTAGTCAAAATATGATATCAAATCATGAAAATAGGTTAAATTTTTAGGACTAATGTTATAAATTTTGAAATATATGCAATTTTATGCAAATTTTTAGGAGAATTTAACACTTACGTTAAATGCCGTATATTTTTTCTCACAGCATATATTTCAATTTTTTTATTACTGTATACTACTACAACACTTATCTGTGTTATGAACCTAAAATGTATATGATATTTCTAAAATTTACTAAAATATGTGTAATTACATGAAAAAAAACACAGTTTTTTTGTAAAATATTCTTGTCGTTTTATATAGAAATACTTATAAAACAATCAAATTAATAAATATTACTTAGATTGTAGCTTAAAACCTATAAATAATATAGAAAACATTTAGTGAATTTAATAGAGATATCTTTAGAACATTTTGAGTAATTACATTCTTGTATGTAAAAACACTAGAAAAATTAGTTTTTTCAGAAAAACGCATTTAAAGATTTCACATTAACAGAAAAACTGTTCTGTTGTATTTACACACTTAAAATTCTCCACATTTGTACATCACCCCTCCATATCTTTATACTTAAGTAATTTTGATTTCCTATTTGATTTTAATCTTTTTCTGGCTATTTTCGAAATGAACGACGAATGACGTTTCGAGTTCTTTATTCTTTCGTTATCAATTCCAAAGTAATTTTTAATCATTTCTTGTTCAATTGATATGTCTCAATGTTCAAACACAGGAAGTAATCCAATATACCATGAATTAAAAATTAAAACTGCTATTTATGCA